CGTGTTAGCCTTGGCTACATTGCGAGATGCTGACCCCGATGGTCCTGCAGACGGTGCTGCAGTCCCTTCAAGCCTGGCGGCATGAATCTCGCTACGTCAGCCGGGCGCGCTGTGCTTGGCTCGGCAGTGAGCACGCACTCATCGCGCTGAACGCCGTCCTTGACGCGGAGACCTTTGAAAAGAACCGTCAGTATAGATGCACGGCCTCGCCGAAGCATTCGTAGTGAACCTGCCTGCACGTTTCGCAGTAGCCCCTACAGCTTTGCACACGTGTGCGCTCCCACGACTCTGCCACATTGCAGTGCATAAGACTACTGGACGCCCCACGGATCTGCTGCACCAAGTGCATCAGTAGGTATCCGCTCGCAACAGAACAGTGTCTGTTGGACTAGCACAAAGTGCTCAAGGAGCGAACGCCCTGATCACGTGCGTCGAGGAGACAGGCCATGATGAAGCGGGACGCTTCGATGAACTCCTCGTGTTCGATCAACTCCCCGATTACGCGGGGATTAGAGATGATTAGAGCCGACGCGGTTCAAGTGGCGCTGCATGATCATCTGCTTGGCGAACTTGTCGGCTCCTGGTGCAAAACGCCGGTCTTGTAACCGGGCTAAATCAAGAAGAATGACCATCCAACTGGTCCGCGATCTGCCTTGTGTCACTGGAGCTATGTCCAGTTCGTCAAACCACGCATAGAGGCGAGCCGGATCCCACTTCTGTTGAATGTCGAGCAAGACGGGATCATAGTCACACCCATGCGTTGTAATGTCTACGAACATCTCGGGCGACTCGGGCCCAAAATACACGGGATCGATGTCCCGGCCTCTCACGAGCGTTGTCGCGGGCGGTGCTCTAATAGACTGAAAGATGGCGTTATGCGCCTCGTACATTTCAGTCCTCGGATCTGGAGGTGGGCCTGCCGCCATCGCTACGTCTGCTGCTGGCTCGGGGGCTGCACCAGGCCCAACCCCGGTGTTTACGGTCATGTAGTGTCTGCCAACGATGATATGCTGCGTGATGTTGTGATCGTCAAGTGCATGCTTGATGCTGCTGTGAGGTGCTGCTTCGTGCTTGACGCTAGCTTCCTCAACAGTGCGAGCATTCATCACATTTGATGTCTCTCGCTGAATGTCTTCGATGTCACTTTGTGTTGGTGCTGGTTCTTCCTGAAGTTCTGCAAGCTCATCCAGGGACATTTCTATCTTTTCGACCACGGTTGGTCTTGGCTTTGGTCCTCTCGGCCTTGATCTTGGAAGAGGCTCTCTGGATAATGTGGCTCGTTCCCGTCCTAGTGGAGGATATGGCGGTTCAGCAGGGCGTTGTGGCTGACTGTTGTTCCAACAGTAGTTACTGGATGAATATCTGAAATTTCCTTGAGACGGTTGTTGATAACATCTGTTGTCGTCAGTCGCACGCTGCTAGTAAGCCCCCGAGCCACAGATCTACGTTGGATAGAGAGCTGCAACAGCCTTTGAGTCTCACTTCTAATCTGACATCATTTTCTTTCTTATTGTCAGTGGACATCCAGGAGTCAGAGGGCTCCGGGCCTTCCCTTCGGGCCAGCTTCGGCGGTCGAGTCATGCTGATCGGAGGTTCGGGAATCGGAATGCGGAAATCCCTAATCTATCTCGGCTGCTTATCCAGTCGGAGGCCATCAATCAGGTTGACAGGAGTCCTGAGTCCTGTGTTCGAAACATGGGGATAGGGATCACTTCGTCGTTCGAAGGCAAGCGGACCCCGTAAGTGTTCGTACGAAAGTCTTTGACGATCCCAATCTGTGCTTGTGCGTACAAACACATCAAAAGAGGCGCGGTGCCTCTGATTTCGTGACTGTCTAAGATACCTGGGACCCGGGAATTCTGATCTTTTCCCAAAAATCAGAAAGGTATGGTCCTAGAGCCCAATGTCTCTGTCGCTCCACTCAAATCCTCAAAGGTTCGGATGTTGTCGGCTACAAACCTGGTTGAGTACCCTAGGTCAGCCTATTTGCGACCGGCGTCTAGGACCCAATCTGCTATCGCAGCCCTGGTCCAACACAGCATACACTCCGGGGCTAGAGTAAATATCCACTATCGGGAGTCCTGCTAAGGCCGGGTGCGTGTCGCTCACAGCCTCCGAAAGATCTCGGTCGCGGCGCCGATGCAGCCGCGGAAGGGGCAGCAGAAGCCACTTCCCAGCTCGTGTTAGCGCTGCTTGGGGCTTCTTGATCCTCTAGAGCCTCTTGTAGGTACGCTATGAGATCGCCCCTCGAGATCGATGTCTCAGTCACAAAGTGCCCTTCCACAGTTTCTCTAAACTGTTCGGTACCACTACCTCTATGGGCAGGTCTTCGCTAGTGCGCGACACGATTGATCCAAGCAAGTCAAAGTCTAAGGTGTTAGACTGGCGCAATGTACTAGCGATCTCCTTACGGGTCTTTCGTTCCTCTTGTGGCTGTTCGTCTAGCAAGAGGCCACAAAGTTTGCACCTGAGGCAGCTTGTCTTCTTGCTAGATCCGACCTCTCGGTGGAAGGTTTCTCTTCTCTGTCTTCGTGACTGTCCACATTTCTTGCATGTCCGCATTTCGACGTATGCGTTGCTACCAGACTTGCTAAACTCAGCGCAACCTCCACGGCACGGTGCCCGGTCAGTGACTCTCGCAATCTCTGTCGAGCCTGTGGCCCGCGCAGGCTCTGGCGCTGAAGCCTGGCTGAAGGGACTTCCCTTCGGGTAATCTCAATGGGCTCGCCATCACGTACTATAAAGTACTCGTGGACCAAGTTGAAAAACTCCCTTAACATCTTGGAGGGACTACGCTCCTTTTGGCCCCACAGGACGTAGCCTGGGTCAGTGTAAAGGACTCGTTCGTAGGTCATCCCCCTTATGCCGTCCAAAGGTAAACACGGTATCAGTACCAGGGGGAGGACTATCCATGATGCCAGCGGCAACTGACCTGCGAAGCTGGGGCGACAAAACACCACGTCCCTTACCCGTGCTACCGGTTTTCTCAGGGCTGCCGAGAACGGGGTATCCTGCGGGACTCGCGAAGTTGTTGCGTAGATGTACTACCTCATCATCGCTCTCCTCAATCGCCATAAACCCCTGAGGCTTGGGGATCGAAGGTTTGCCACTCCCACCGGACGGTGCCGGGGTCTGAGGAGCTTTGGGAGCCGCTGCGTTCGGGTCTTCGTTCTTCTTGAAGCGGCATTCGGCATCTCCAGCCCACCGTCCTACGGCACCGCATCGCACGCATTTGCTCCTAGCTTTGAGCTCAGCAAGCTTGGCTTTCCTATCAGCGATTACAACCTTACCGCCACCTTTCTTGCGTTTATCCTTCCGTTTGCCTTTTCCTTTGACCTGGTTAAGGGTATTGGTAGCAGCATAAGCCAATTGAACAGCTTCAGCGTACTCTTCTGCAAGAGTGTCTTCTTCAATCTCTTTTGCTACAGCTGTATACGCAATGATTTGCATGGCTTCTTCTTCATCATCCAGCCAAACGTCATCATCCGGAGGTGATGGATCCGACGGCACGGTGGCCGCATAAGCATCGTAGCCAACAGGGTTTGCATCGACTTGCGGAGTGCCTTCATCGGCTGTATAGCCGATGTAGCCGTACTTTGGGCTCGGGCTTCGGTATTTCCACGGTCTATACCCTGGACTCTGGACCTGGGGGCCTTCTGGGTGAGAAGACGTTCCTTCATGTGTACAACGCTGTGGTTTTGCACTAGGACTCGGGCATACTCGCTAACAGTATGCGTTCGCGCCGCGGTCTTAACCACAAGCTGCTCTTGTCGGCTTAGCCCAGAAAGCTCTACCAACAAATTGGCGCGCATTGCCTCTGACAGTTCTATGTCAGGATCAAGTTCTTGCAAGGTAGTCCACCAGCGCTTTCTTCTAGTTATGTTGGATAACATGGGTTCCCCGGCCTGCTTAGACAAGGGACCTGTGATAAGCTGCCCCTGACGGAACAACTCGGACGCCTCTTCCGATTGAAGAGGGAAGGCTGCTGAGCGGATCTCCTCGATCAGTTGGTCTATGCCATCAGTTTTGAGCAACCTATCCAAACCAATATCTCGGGCTACGCTAAATGTGTCTCCTCTTAGCCCCTCGAGAATCTTAGAGAGGCAGTCCGACATATCTATGTCGTCATCTTTGATGTCGCTCAGACTCAGCACCGGCGCGGTGGCCGGGCGTTCGCCTTCATCGTCATCGCCGTCGATCTGGCTGGGATGACTCGGGACGGAACTGCCTCCATCGTCTTCTTCATGTACCGAGTCATTCGCCGATCCTTTCGCACGACGAGCACTGGATGGGCTGGCCGGCATTTCACTTGACGTCTCACCCTCGGTGGGGTGATCGGCGCTGGATATCCTTGGAAGCCACTCCTCGCCCACTTTCGTGGGGATTGGGACATGCTCCGCGCAAGGGCTGCTCCACGCATATCCTCAAGCAACTCACGCCGTTGCTTCTCCTTATGCTGGAGGACCTTCAGACGCGTACGGAACTCCCAATCATCGCTTGTAGTCTCCGCAGGCGCGGAATTTATATTCCAAGTACCGGGCTGATATCTTAGCCCTGCTACCGACATCGCTCAGGTCTACAGTTCGGAGGAAGCCACTGTGGGCAAAAAAACCGTACGTACGGGACTACTCTACTTCACGGGTGGGTCACTAAGCTCCGCTACCAAGCTGGAAAGCAAGAGTGTTAGCTACATGAGGACCACACCAAAACACTATGCAGCCGAACTTTTGCACTCGACTCAAGGCGCCTGCGATAAGTACTGGTTTCAAGCAATCAACCAAGCAAGCAGATTTCTACTGCATGACAACTGCAACTGTACCTACGGAGCCTTTGTACTGCAAGTTAGACTGGTACGTAAAAGCTACAGGTCACCTCGGTTCTTCTGATAAACAGGCAGGTTTCACAGCCCTGGATGTTGACCGGAATGCAAAACTGTTGGTTTGACGAACCTGTGATCACCTTTCTGGACCCAGGAGTAAATGAAGGGCTAATTTGCCGGCCTCTCTGTTGAAGATGGCCCACACCAAAGATTGCAGAGCCCGTCCGTCTTTGAACCTGAGCAAATCTCTGCTGAGTCGGTGTCGGCCGGCAGGATGTTGCAGGCAAGCAACCACCGACTCACCGAGTCGTGGGTAAACCGGATGCTTGCGGCATCGACCTCTGCTTGCAGGCTCATTGACTGGCTTTGATTTGACCATGCAGGTCTGAATGCAAGTCCGAAATTTCAACGCCCTTTCGGTACCTTCCAGCCAAGATGCGACTTCGGTGTGGCCAAATGCAACAGTTCGGGCTTGCACCTGCAATCACATTCAGGCCTACATGTGCTTGCACCGTGAGGGATTCACAACAAGTTATTGGGCGCTGCAAAAGAGCATCGCAAAAACAGCAATATCGAAAAGTCAAGTTCTGCTCAGTTCACTTAACTTTAAGCGGGAGACTTTAACTTTCAACACATAAACTTCCCTGGCAAGTCCTGTGTTCGTTGCAGTCGCTTGCATAGCTTTGCGTGATATGTTTGATGGGTTTAGGGGTTTAGGGTTTACGCCTTAGGGCTGGCTCCATTTCCCAAAAATCACCCCAGCGGAGCGAGCGGAACAAGCTGGTGCAGGGCAGGGCAGTAAAGTGGGGAGTGCAACGCGCCCAGCAGTTCCGTCAAGTAAAAGCTCAGACCCCAAAACCTCCAGTTCAAGCTGCAGGCTGAAGCTACGAGAATGGGAGCTCATCATGCCACGGCTCCGAATCTCATTGCAGGGAAATAAGGCTGATCCCAAGTAAGCAAAAGCTCGGATTGGTCACTGCCGCATGTGTCACCACTTGCAGACCCTTTCCCATGGAGCGGCCTGCTCTTGCGCGACTCCTCGAGATGCAAGTCGTTGATTCCGTCATGCTGGTTGGTTTGACTCGGCTTGAAACCATACTGGCAACCTTCACCTTTCAACTATAAATCTCTATGCCCGAAACGGCTTGCTCAAGATCTCGAAGCATGCACTGATACTAACCCAGGAGCCTGAATTGTAGCGATCCCAGATCCGTCTGGCCTCGCGCACAACACTGATTTGCACTGCTATGCATGTTGCTGCAACTCCCATGCCGAATCGTGAACTGACAAGTTGCAAATTATGATCCACTGGCGATTCATGCGCCGATTCTACCGGCATCTTGCCGCACGAGGCGTTCAGCATTCAGCACATCCACCAACTGCATGCATCGTTGTGTTTGCTCTCAATGCTGAAGCAAGGCGAATGCAAGGTTACGCATCTCTAAACGCTTGTCTTGAAGCCCGCCATGCACTTGTATACCCACGGTGACAGGTCATGGAACACTATTGAAAGCAGCGGTTTGCACTAACATGAAAGCAATGGACTGCCACAGCCACATTGCAGGGCTTTTGGGTTCTCTTCGCTTGACTTTGCATCTTGCGTCACAGACATGTCTGAAATGTCAAGGACATGGACTGCGCTGACAGGTTTGACATGTGCACTGCATGCAATACTTCGGTGTTGTTCGCACAGGGCCCAAGCTGATAAGGCCGGAGATCCACAACCAAAGCTTTGTTGCACACGGTTGAGGATGCCGTGTGCCTTTGTACGTATGTCGCAGGTTAACTTGATGGTGCGACAGTACGGCCGCACACACACACACACACACACCTCGCAAGCCCAAATGCTGTGAACCTGGCCTGGGATGCGAAGTTGCGTTGGCACAGCTGTTCCTGTGTCCTGGTTGGTTGGAGGCTCTGGGATGTAGAATGGCCAGCTGTAAGCGTCAGTGTATGGAAACTGCACTCAATCGTGACCGAAGATACTGCTCAAGCATCGCCGCCACCAGCACCACCACCACCGCCACCACCATCATCACCATCACCACCACCATGATCATCACCCTCATCACCGTCATCACCCTTCTCAATCTCATCACAGTCATCACCCTCATCACCCTTTTCCTCCTTGTCATCACCATCATCATCATGAAGAAGAAGAAGAGAAAGCGAATCTCATCCTGAACACCCCCGCTGCAAACCAATTGTTGAACAGTGTCAAAAACAGAAGGTGCGAAGGTGACAGGTGGAAGATGGGGTGTGGAAGGTTTCATCCAAACCGAAAATGAGCCGATTCAGGCATGTCCACAGCATGTGGGCCATGTCTGTGCACTGGCCCGCACTTATAACCAACCCATGAATCCTGAAACTCGTGGGCACTGACCAGAAACGACTGACCCAAATGCCCCCAACAAATCGGAACAGGAAAGCCAACCATCAACACACGTGGCAATCTAAAACAACGTGACGCCCCCAACATCTGAAAATCCTACACCTTGCGGCCGACAATTTGTCATAATCGGACAGCCAGAAGCCACACCCACCCCATGACCCGACGAAGAACATCCAAGAAGCCGTCCGAGCATGCTCTTCAACTGCTGCTCCTGTCGCAGCGGACAAGCAACTGACGAGCAGGTGGTTGCTTGCACTTAATTAATTTGTGTCCGCCGACCGACACGATGTCGGAGTTGAATTTGGGATAATTACTCTGTGATCTTGCACTGGTCGGGGCCTATGCCAATGAAACTTCGAGAAGCGGACTGAGCATCAGGTGGGCCCCTTCGGGCTGCAAGCACATCGCAAACCGGCAATGGAAGTGAAAGCCATTCTCTGTGATTCCATTGAATAAATCGGGATGTGAAGCTCTAGAACCCCATCCGGAACTCACTCGGGGAAGGTCAATGATTTCGAAGGCTGGGATGCGACTAAAGCAACTCGCAGTCGAAGTAAGTGCTTGGCCTCGCCTGAGCCTTGAGCCGTTGAGCCCTTGAACCAGATATTCCAACACGAAGCTCACTTTAGGTTTGGGGCTTCGGCTTTCGAGCTGCGGCAATGAGATTGCAAACGCAACGCGATGAATGTATTCATTGGCGCAGTGTTTGGCGGGCCTCCCTGACGGCACTGCTGCGCGACTCAGCCTCATAATGGTGCGACTTGCATCACCGCTTGTCAGAACTCTAGAGCTGAGCCAGGGCTGGCAATCGCTGGAAGGTATTAGAATCCCCCAACACTTGCCCTCTTTGTTTGAAGCTTGCGTCTACTGGACAAATGTCAAACCACAGCCTTTGAATTGAGTTGAGCATCAGCTTCTTCAATTTCAGACAGTGAGTGGAGGCTCCTGAGATGTCAGCGATGATGTTTCTGAGCATAGATTGCTGCCCGCTACAGTGCAATGGTGAGAGTGCACATTATCTCTGTGACTTTCCCACGATGACGACGGACCTGGGGCCGTATTCCATGAGAGATCATGCTCTTCAAAATGTAGGTGCTTCCATCTGCATGCGTCCCTATTCAGGGGAGCGACGCCGCCTTGTTCAGTCACCAAACTGACGAACCCTCGCTGGCCAAGCGTCTCTGCATCGACTTCCGCTTGAACCTGTGCAATACCCCACCAAAAGGAAGGCGGGACAAAACCGAAAGCAGAAGGCACTGGACCACTTCATAAAACTGACATTGGAAGCTGGAATGAGGCCAAGGCAGGTTGACGAAAACTGGTACACGGGAGCACAAACATGCAGGGGCATGGGTCTGCGCCCGTGGTGTCCCACCGGGTTTGCGCGCAAGTGGAGACCACGATCTTTGCGAGGTTTTGTGAGTTTGGGAAAGGTGACCCCAAGATTGGCGAGGCTTTCTGAGGCTTTGTGTTTGCGATGATTTTTGGAATCCGAGCGAGGTTTTTTGAAGACCAGGGTGTGGGAAGGCATCTGAGCCGCACTCGGTGTGGCAGACTCATGCGTATGTGGTGAGGGGGGCCAGGGGGGCCAGGGGGGCCAGTGTCGGAAAGGAAAACTAGGGCAGCATTCGGGGAGGCCTGGGGAGGGGGGGGCACTTAACACTGAGTCGCCAGTAAAGGATGCCAGCTTTCGTGACTTGGCTGCGAGCCTTGCGTAGTGCGTCGATGAGGAACATGGTGGATTCTTCCATGCACCTGCGTAGCAAAGTTGAAAGGGCAAGACCTCGGATTGAAACAAACCTGAAGACTTCCGACATGTGGAAGGCATGCGGAGACTGATGCAACCGTGCCGTATTCGTGTTGCCAGCATGTTCCGCCGAGCGTTTTTGTCTTATAGCCTGCTTTCTCTTCCAAATTCCCGCACCAGCCGCTTCCGGTGAGTCCGGCCAGTGGCCAGCAACATGTCATCATCATTCATCATGCACCAAAAGCCTTTCTTTTGCTAAAGTTACAACCAATCTACTTGCTATGCGAGGGGAAGCCAACGCATTTGCTTTTGCCACCTTTCCCAAAAATCAACCCTCGCAGCCATCTGATGAAATCCCTCAAGGCCCGAAGCGACACATGCCGCATGCCGCCTCAGGGACTCGTTATGCTCGGCCTCGTGCTGGCCGGCCTCGCAGATCCAAGACAGCGTTGCTGCTCTGCGAGGCTGGGGACTGCTGCGCTTGCAAAAATAGTACAGGTAATATTTTTGCGCTTTGTATTACTCCCAACTAGTCCGACCCCTGCACCGAAGCTTCGACCGTCCTCGTCTACCGAAACTCCCCAGGCCCCCTTGAAGGTCAAGCAAAAGGTTCTTTACAGCTCGGGTTGAGGAGCTGTTTGCGACTCAACCAGCAAGGATGCAACCCCTTTCTGGATTGTAGCTGCAAGCCCAATCTGTTCCGGTAGGGTCAAGAGCATACGAAGTCGACTAGGTTCAGGATTCAGGGATAACTCAAGCTGATGAAGGTGCGGGTAGTTGGTCGCAACAGGTCGACATCAGAATTCCGTGGCTTGGAGTTGAGGGTTTGGGTGGGCCAGGGTGGCTCGACGCTAAATTCTGAACACTGATTTCACTTTTGCAACCTGCGCCGAGAGCGCATCTGCCAAGCGTTGAGCTTGCTCCTTTCCAGCCGACAGCAGGCTGTTTCAGACAGCAGGTGCATGTATATCTGATGTACGCGTTGTTATATGTTGTTAGGTATGCACATGTGTACGTCTGAATGGATGTTAGTTTGCTCGCTTGCTACATGTGTGTGAAAATGCATGTATGGTCGATAGGCATACGTATGTACAGGCAAGTGTGCGTGTCATGTGTATACGTATTTGCTTGGGCTTTAGGGTGCAGGGTTTGGGGCTCGGGCCAAGGTTTCTGATTATCACGGCCTTAAGGCGAGACGATATACCCAAACTCCTTGAACACCAAACCCCCGAAAGACCGCACACCCTCAGAGCTCGAAAGCCCTGAACTCTAAAATCCTAAACCCGACGACCCAAAGCCCGAAACCCTGAATTCTAAGCCCTGAATCCGAAACCCTAAACCCTGGACCGTCCTCCAACTCGGATTGGAGCGATGCCTCCCTGCCCTGGGACTCGGCCAAGTCGACTTGCAGGGCCTTTTGCTCCAAACTGTCTGGCTTTCCGGCTCTTTAAGGCCGTCTTTAGGGATTCTTCCTGGGCTCCTTTGAGGGATCCTCCAAGGGATCCTTAGGGCTCTGCAAGGTCTCTTAAATTTTAAGGATTCTTTTGATCTACGAGGACTCCAAAATGCTTTAGATCTTTTTGGGGGTTCTTGAAGCTCGGGCTTGCGGGATCTAACGGCTGATCGGGTGTTTTCTTAGGGCTTTAAGGCTTTCGGCTTAGGCTTTAGGTCTTAAGTGGGGTGTCTTCTAAAGATCCTAGAAGGGATGGTGTCCATGGCCCCAGGGTTTTAGGGCATTTTGGATGTATTAAGGAGAAAAAGTGTTCAAAGCTCTGGTATGTTGCGGTTGTATGAGGGTTCTACTCAGCCCCAAAACCCGAACACCCCTAAACATCCTAAACCACTACGTTCCCTGAAAGCTTCATATTTAATAAACTCCCAAGCCCCATGTGAAACCCTGGTTTTGCACCTCCCCCCGCCAACGAAAAGCAGTCAACCCAACAACCGTGAATGAAGGAATGTACCTCGAAGTATCAGAAACTTAATGTTACCTACAGTCTCCATTGTAGTTCCTTTGTTTTGGTCTAACCAATTCTATATATGGGAGTTTGTAAGGTAACCCAAAAAAGGAACTACAATGGAGACTACAAGTATACACTCGCTCTGGGCTTTGGGGCTCTGAGTCTAGAGCTTCCTCCCGCTGCAATGCCACAGAGAGTTGGACCTGCGGCGGCTTTTGTTTAGGTATTTTTGGGGGGTTGGGGGCCTATTCGGTTTGGATGCGGTTTCTGAGGTTTGATCGGCTTTGGTACGGCTCTGTTCTATGAACCGGGATGGGCTTAATAGGAGTTTGAGGTTTGTGGGCCTTGGGAGTCTACAGGATTTTGAATTCAGGAGTTTCGGGGTCCTTTAAAGGACTGATGCTGTAAATTCGTTGTGAGGCTTGTTGGGGAGACGGGGTCGGCTGTTTCGGAAGTTTGGAGAGTTTTAAGGCGCCCTTGTTGCCATGCAGTTGTCTATGCGCTTGAGTGGTTGGGAGATTGTTCAAAGGTGAAAGCTTTCAGATGGACAGTCTCAGCCCTCTACATTGTCGCACCGAGCCTTTCTCTCGACTTGTGGGACATGGGTTTCAGGTTATTCCCGAAAAACCTAATGTTCGCGGCAGGCAAGGTCAAGTTGGAGGCGCTGCCCCTGACAAGGCAAACGTTGAGGATTCCTTTAAATCTTTGAGCCCACGTGAAGCCCAGCCAGCCCTGCGAAGTCTGGTTAGGTCACTCCACAGTCTTCGAGTCCTAGAGAAATCCCCAAATGCTAAGATCTTAGGACTCTAAGCTGGCCCTCAACCTATCCATCTGAATTTCTGAATTCGTGCACCATGCACTGGGATACCCAGCGATTGACACATCTAAACCCTTGACAGACGGCGTTGGCGCGGGCCTGCAGCTCAGCCTCCCGCGCTCTGGACCTCAATCAGGGATTTGGCCACTGTTGGATTTAGGGTTTAGGGTTTTGGGTTTAGCTTTTATGGAATGCTTCTAGAGCACCCTGTAGAGTCCCCAAGTGGTCGCTACCCAACCAGCGGGGCCTGTCCGGAACCCTACTGCAGAAGTTGGGTGCCCAGCTCCGTCAACGGGCGGACCAGCTTGGCCATCCTTGGGCAGGCAGCTTTGAAAAAATCATACGGCTGATGATCTAAATCCTGCTTTTCCCATAATAAGGAACATACCATATCGTTCCCATAGTTTGGGGGCCTTAAAAGCAATGCCGGATATATAATCATCAACAACACCATTTTTCTGAGGATGTCGGCGGTTCAAAATTGCCTTCGGCTTTGGGGCCTGCGCTGAAACACAGCTGCGATGCTCGGAAACACTGGCGGTGATGCAGGATTCTACTACGAGGCAGCGTGGACAGAGGTTCAGCGCTGGCAAACCGCAAGTGCCAATGGTACTTCAACCACAGCTACAACTACAACCAGAGATACTTCTGCTACTGCTACGACGACTACTACTACCATCACCACTACTGCTACCACCACTACCACCGCGACGACGATTTCAACTTAGAGACTACACAGTACCTTCTTTCCATCTCTATTTAGTACTCAAGCTTTAAACCAAATAATCCGAGAGTCTGTTCGGTGCAGTTGTCGAGCGCAGCTTGGAGTTGCACCTCCGGGAAAAGAGCCCGTTTCAGAAACTTCAAAACCGCAGCGTCCACAGTTTCGGGTTGGCAGGTTTGGGGTACTGCGGTTCCGAATGTCATGCACCTACGAGAGAACATGTCCAAAAGGCCATGTCTTTCGGGGTTCGAAGTTTCGTCTTCATGGACAATGGATCTCGCAATGCTGACTCAAGCCCTGAAGCGCATCATGTACGAACCACAACCTCGATGCCAAAGAGACCCAGGGGCAACACGACCACCCTCGAAACAGGGTAGCGGGTAGCCTGGCCTTCTGCGGAATGAAAAACCGAAGTGTGGAATCTGCACGAAACACCGGCAGTCTTGCGAACACTGTAACGGCATCCAACAAAAACAGAGTACTTCACATGCAGCCCAAATCTAAACCCAAGCGAACCATCAAAACTATGGGCTGCACTGCCCGCTTACACCGACAAAACCTTGCAGCCCAGGCTGGGGTTGAAGATTCAGGACGAGGCTTTGAGGCATGTTTTCGTGTAACGACAAAGTGTCCACATGTGAACGTTCTTACAAATTTCTCTGAGCTCTATAGGAGCTCTATAGGACATGAAACTGCAATCAGTTAAGTTAGTTCAGCCTTTGTGGCCATCCTACCTGCCCCTCCGACCCTCAAATGCACCCTGGTCAGTCTCGAGCACCCAATTCAACCTCTTCCACCCAAACTCAAAAACTGTAAACTGTGTGAACCCTGTCCCTAAACTCAACCCGCTGCCTCTCGCTGCATCGATGCTTGAAGCTTTTCTTTGTCGCAGTTCTGACGGAGATCGGAGGTGGTCGGGAATGTTTAAAAGTAGGGTTCAGGGCTTAGGTTGCAGGGTTTCCAGGCTTTACGGCTTAGGGTTCAGTATGCTGTACGGGTGTGGGCTTTCGGGTTCAGGATGGTCTCGGGTTTAGGATGGTTTAGGGGTTTAGGGTTGAGGGCGCTGCTGCCATAGCACTATGCATCATGAATCATTGCACCTGCTTCATGCGCACAAGTTTCCAGCGCAGCTCCGCGAAGTGACCGAACAAATAATTAACCGAATCCTCAAACAAAGTTTAAGACCATGCACGCCAAAAGTCTTCAACCTCGTGAATCCCCACAGACTGCCAGTCGTTGCGCTGCCTTGGCTTCGGCTCTTTGTCAGCAGCGGTGTTGGGGCAAGGCAAGACGCGCAAGAATTCTCTAATTGTGGTGATCTCACCTAGGACACAGTCTTCCGCATTACAGAGTACCATGGCCCAGCATGAGCACCAAGGCACAGGCAACAGCCGAACTCCATGCACGAATGTCCTACGACAGCTGCATTGAAGCCGGAGCATTACATGTTCTGTTCGTGTCACGCAAGATAGATCAAACCTGTCTGCGCCTCAAAGTCAAAGTCAGGCGGTCAGGCGGTCAGGCACGACTGTCGTACGGTCCTCGAGGATCTTCGGGAACGCAGCCACCAAGAAGGGCTCAGCAACGCGCCCCTTGTCCAGCCGAACCCGTGACAGCATACAGTACGCGGAGCGCTCTCGAGACATCCCTGCAAATCACGAGCTGCACCCAGGCCTTCGCGATTGCAGCTAAACCTTCCAGGGCTGACTTTCCTCCCGCCTGGCGCTGCAGACTTCACACCCATATTCATTAACCAGCAAGTCTTGAAATAGGCATACGATGCGCGTGTTCATGAAAAGTTTGTAATCAAAAAGTCATCTACTAATCTATTACTCCTTGTGGCAAAGATTGCCGACAAGGCCCCTGCATGTTTCGGCGCCTTCGCGGTGCAACGGCGTGGAGCCCCGATCCGAAAGCCTCTCTCGATCTCTTCCTTCAGCTCGGCAGCTCGGGGGCCATTGCTCGCGGAGTCAAATTAAATCTGCAAAACCCTGGAGAACTTGTATGCCCCTGTCTGCTTCTTTTTGGGGAGGGTTGTTAGCTCATGTGGTCTTCTTGGCAGCGTCGGTGTCCAAGGTTTTCAACGCACGAACCCGCTCCACCTTGCCATGCACATCTTCGGGATCAAAATCGATTCCAACACTACTAGACATTGCAGCCGACCAGAAAGTGAAGCTTCTGGAGGCCCAACCAGCGGTGGGTGCGAGAAATGGTACCAAGAGTAGAGAGGATCGGGGTTCAGGTCGCCCTGTCCACAGGTCGACTCCGTCGTCTTTAGGACTGTAGGCATCGATGTGCAACTTGCCTTGTTCTCCTCGTGTATCTGGAACCGAAAGGCGCCAGGGACATGCATCAGAGACGCGCGCTGTGCTGAGTCCCAACTGCAAGGCATCTGATCTGCCCATTTTTGCAGCAAAACTGCCTGCCTGGAGGCTGCGCAGTGCTTTGCAGCTCTTTGCAGCTCTTTGCAGCTCCTTACGCAGGCCTGGAACTCGTTGAGGCGACTTCGCCTTCTCGAGGCTGGGAAAAGTCATCAGCGAAGCGAAAAGCGGCGAAGTGCAAAATGCAGCTCAGGTCGGTGCATGGTCATGAGCAGATTCATCAACTGTTCAGTCGGGCTTACGAGCCTGCCACGCCGGCAACGCTGCAACGCTGCATACTTACACTGACATGCCAGATGCACAGCATGAACAGCATGAGTGAGACCTGAGAACAACGGGTGTATGTTCGATGTTATCTCTTGGTCTCTCTCTAGTGGCTTCAGCCACATGCCATGACCGCATTTGCATCACCATACCCGAACTGCTTGGTCATCTGCTTAGATACCTTCACAGTGATGTCATCTTGAGCATGCTGCCAGTGACCACGTTTGACATAACTAAAGTTTTGGGTGCCTCTGAGTACATCACCAAATCGAAGAGCCAGAACAGCACGAAAATGTGTGCCTCAAGAAACTCTTGCGCAAGCTCGCACTGGTTCAGCCCCAGCGACATCGCATTGCAAAACTATTGTGGTGGCTATGCAGTGTCCCTGCACTTGAGCATCTGTTCCAGACTTCCATTACGTGCTACCCCAGTCCTGTGTCGTAGAAGGGTACGATAGAGAGGAGCCACCGAAAAGTTGCAGCTTGGCTGTTCAGCTCCGGTGATACAACTCGACACAGCTCACACAGTATTGCAGCTGGTCTAGCTCTCGATGTCTTCAGTGGCATTTGCGAAAACCCAAACAGCTGCTCTGACACTCTTGGCCGAGATTCTGGGATGCAATGTCATCTTGAGCAACAGTTGACTCTCGGTGCAAGAAGCGCGCAGGGTGGCAACGTGAGCAGCGGCGAGGCCTCCGGGGCCACTTTTAGACCGATGTCTTCGGAGGGAATTGGCCGTGCTCGCGGTTCTTTCGGCTCGACTCGACGCTTTCGTGACGGATCCCTATGTGTCAGCGTGCAATAATGCGACCTGCGAGATCTGGGATCTTACAGGCTCGCGTCTCACGGTCATTCACGGTCCTCCCCCGCGCTCCCCTGTCCACGGGCAAGGGAAGATCTCCATGTGGCCGAGGTTGAGGTCATGACTGGCGGAGTTTTGGAGAGGTTTGAGCACTTGCGAGTGTCAGGCTATCTGATGACCATGCACATCGGACATGCTGAACTGCGTGGTAACTTTGAGGCATCGGCCGATGCTATCACCGGTTGGTTAGCGTGTGGCCGAGCTTCCAGTGACCTGCTTGCTCGAGCAGCTTTGTGAGAAACCAGCACAGCTTGCCCGCCTGGCTCGTGACAAAGTATAGCCAAAATGTCATCGTGCTTCAGATGCAGCCTGAATAAGTTTCTGTCTCCGAGACATGCATGGGATGCGACTGCACAGTACATGAAGGCATGCAAGGCCAGCACAAGGTGTCGTACAGAACAATGCGCTTGTACCTGCTGTTGAAGACATTCACTGCAGATGGCTGTGCCGGATTGACCCATCCGCCAGGGCCTATCAGGATAAACCGTTTGAACAGTTTTGGCAATGCTGCAGTCAGTGTCTGCAAGCACCGGGCAGAAGCATATGCTGTTTCCAACATTTGTTCCGGATGTGGGCATAACACAGAAAAGCTGTGTAGCCTCCTAGGTCAGCTTGCTTCAACATGTCTTACAAGCTGGCACCAGATCCAACGGGGCACTTCCAAAATCCAAAGAAGTATGCATTGCTGTGACCAGACCTACAGACGAGGGCCGTTCACGAAAGCTGCAGGTCTGAGCTGGAACGGCAGGCCGCCTGCAACGGTCTGAACTCGTTGAAAAGCGGCTGAATCACATTTGGTACATCCACATAAAGGCAAACCTCGGGCGGCAAGTATCAAGAGAAGAAAAGGAAATCTCACTGTCTTCTGTGCAAACGACTCGCTGAGGACTTGTCGTGAGAATCTAGACGAATGCCCACAGGTACAGATTTGTGCAGGACGCAGGACGAGGTAGCAGCTTTTGGAGCGCAGGATTCAGAGGACCTCTTTCGGCATAGCAGCCACGACAACGGCAGCTAGCGAGAGTCGTGAATACAAATAGCCTGAGCAACGTTACCCTGTTCATCATACACGTCATCAGCGGCCCTACCATGATCACCATCAGCAGCAGCACCATCACCATCAAATTCAATCCACCCTTAAAGATCTTAGCTCTCGTCGCACACCATCTGCAAACTTCTGCTCCTCGTCATCATCGTCATCGCCAAACTTCCCATCAGCACCACCACCACCATCATCATCAGCGTCAGCATTCATCAGCACTATGACCGCTATCATCAGCAAACTGCCCTCAAAGATCTTCACCGTAGTCCCATCAAGAACATCGTGAGTACTTCTTGCAGAAAGTATTCCACCGTCGTCGTGGGAGCATTGTTGACTGTTGAGCTTCACACCGCCATCTTCTTGTATGCTCGGCATTAAATCGGCCATGCATGTTTCATCTCTCGTTGCACATCATCCTCTATCCTTCCTCCGCCAAAATGCTCATCAGCACCATCATGTTCTTCTTCGCTCTCATCCCTCGCAATCAGCATGACTAGCAATTCCGTTACCATTACCGGGTAGAGCGCCACGATTCCACCACCACGACCACCACCACCACAACAACCACTCAGCAACACCTGTAGCACTACTGTACGACCTATCAATTACCCATTCCTTGTTGCTAGCTGCTTGTGCACAAGAAGCCATGACCAGAAATATGCATTCAATGAAATTCCACATTTCAGGAAGCAAGCTTGGACCGCGGCTGCTGCGGCTTCGCCGGTTGCTGCGGCTTCGGCGGATGGGGCAGCATCGCAGACTGTGTCGCGGGCTGCGGCCTAAAGTGATTTACTGCAACTTCCGTGCACGAACACAAGCTTTGCATTGGTGAGGAGATGGGATTTGAGGCTCGCTGGTCTCAACCGCAAGGAAAGCGTGTTCGTTCGGGGTGCAACGATGCAAGCAATATGTCCTGCATGTGTGTGTGCACCGATGGATGTATCTATGTAATTATGTCCGTATGTGTATAATGCGCGTATGTGTACATAGACATGTAATTATAGTACTCCCATTAAAATCCATGCATGCATGCATGCATACATCTATGTACACACACACATAGCCTTGCAGTGCCCGGAACGGAAGACAGACAGCACGGACGAACCTGAACCCAACAGGGGCGCGACCTTCATCACACTTTCGGTCCACTAGTTCCCGAGCATCTTGAGCCCAAAAGTCCGCATTTTAAGTCACTGCTGAGCCATGATGAGTACTCCAAGACGCAAATCTTTCCGCTTTTCCTTCTTTTGGCGATGAATGCTGCGGGTAAATCCCTGAAAGCTCGGGCCTCCAAACCAACAAAACGTTCGTTGCAGATGGGGCCAAATTTAAACCAATAGAATGCGCTTGCGTCGTTCATGAGATGTGCGAGGTTTAGGTGCTGCACGAGGGCAGCAGTGATGATTTTGCTTGACTGGTCTCCCGCTGTGAACGCAAGCACATCGTGGTCGTCGCAGAAGTTGCAGTTCTCATGCATGCATGTTACACATATCAGGGTTGGCTATTTGGTGCGTGAGGTTCTGGTATCGATGATACGGTATGAGTGCTCACCTCACCGAGCTTGTTGGTGTAATTGTAGTAGTCCGTACTCAAAGAGCGCCAACGTGCGTAGGATTGAGATTAGGAGTCACGCTCTATGTACATGGGCATTCATGACATGTGGCTCATAGCTTGAACGGCGACACGTACGAATTGGACTAGGCATCGGCGTCCGTTCGCACCCGCCCAGAGTTGTGCCTCCGGCATGACTCACACGGAAGGAAGTCGCGAGAAAGAAAACTGTCCGCCGCAACTTTGAGAGTGTGAGGATACGAGCTGAAGTTCCCGAATTAGAAATGTTGCGACACTTTGCTA